CATTATAGAAGGACCAGTCAGAAATAAAGGATGTACTAACTGAAATAAAGAATAATATACAGAGAATCAATAGTAGAGTAGGTAAAGCCAAGAAGCAAACCATCAATTTAGAATATAATGAAACAAAAAACACCCATTCAGAACTGCAAAAAGAATCCAAAACAATGAGGATAGTATAAGGAGCCTCTGGGACAACTTCAAGGGTACTAACATTTGCATCATGGGGCTGCCAGATGAAGAAAAGAGAGAACAAGAAATTGAAAACCTATTTGAAACAATAATGACAGAAAACTTCCCTAACTTGGTGAAGGAAACAGACATACAAGTCCAGGAAGCACAGAGAGTCCCAAACAAGATGAACCCCAAGAGGCCCACACCAAGACACATCCTCATCAAAATGCAAAAGGTTAAAGACAAAGAGAGAATCTGAAAAGCATCAAGAAAAAGGCAGTTAATTACCTACTAGGGAGCTACCTTGAGAGTGTCAGCTGATTTCTCAAAAGAAATTTTGCAGGCCCAAAAAGAGTGGCAAGAAATATTCAAAGTAATTAAAAGTAAGGACCTACAACCAAGACTACTATATCCTGCAAAGCTGTCATTTAGAATCGATGGCCATATAAAGAGCTTCTCAGATAAGAAAAAGCTAAAAGAGTTCATCACCATCAAACCAGTATTATATGAAATGTTGAAGGGTCTTCTAGAAGAAGAAGGAAGGAGGAGGAGGAGGAGGAGGAGGAGGAGGAGGAGGAGGAGAAATATGAGCAGTAAAATGGTAATAAATACATATCAACAATTCAATCTACAAACAAAATGAACAAGCAGAACAGAAACATACTCAGAGATAAAGGGAACTTTTTCTTGGTTGCCAGATGGGAGAGGAGTTGGGGGCATGGGTGAAAAAGGTAAAGGAATTAAGAAGTACAAATTGGTTGTTTGACTGATGAACCTTAGAGGGAAGGGGAGGAGGGGCATGAAGAGATAAATCAAAGAATGTATATGCTATATGCATAACCAATGGACACAGATAATATTGTGCAGAAGGCAGGAGGGGGACAGGAGTTGGAAGGAGGGGGTCAATGGGGAAAGAAAGGGGTTACATCTGTAATACTTTCACCAATAAAGATAAATTTTTTTAATTGCTTTTCTTTTTTTTTATCCTCACCCGAGGACATTTTTCCATTTTTTTGTTCAGGTAGAGTGGGAGGGAGAGAGAGGAACAGAGAGAGAGAGAAACATCGATGTGAAGGGACACATCAAGTGGCTGCCACCCACACGACCAACCAGGGCCGGGGACAAACTGCAACCGAGGTACATGCCCTTAGCGGGAACCGAACCCGGGTCGCTCCAGCCGCTGAGCCAAACCGGCCAGGGCTAAATTGCTTTTCAATTAAGACTCCAGGGTTTCCAGCAGAACATCATCTTCTGTTAGGACATCGTTGCCCTAGGGATTCATGAATGGTGAATTGCTATAGCAGAGACGTGAAGTTTCCATCTCTCTATTATAATAATAGCAGTGTTTCTCATCTCCAAGATTCAGAAATAAATAGGAAGTTGTAAGGGAGGTAGTTGGAAAAATAACCCTAATTTTGAAGTCACCTTTCTACTAGGGCATTGAAACTCAAATGAATGTATGGCACCAACTTTAAATAATTTATTAACTGTTGGCAGCAATGCAAAGCTCACTCTGACAAAGGACATGTCAACAGAGGAAGTGCCAGGCAGTGGTTTTAAGGCAGTGCTCCTGGTGTTGGGTGAATGTGTCTGTGGGCAGCAGAGGGAGACGAAGTAGGGGCTAAGCAGGCTGGCATCCAGGCCCTTCACCTTCCTTCAATAGTTTGTTTTAAAACACTGGATTTCTCAATATTTAATTAGAAAAAGAAACACTTGGTTTCACTATTTAAAATAACAACGTTGCTTTGAAACACTCTCTTTTGCTGCGCTTTTTTTGTTGCAAGTGTCAGCAGAGGCTGGAGATCCTGCTGCAGGGAAGACACGAGACGCCTGCACGGTGTGGAGTGGCCTAGCCGGCACCTTCAATTCTGAGACCATAAATACGACGTCATACTGTACTACTGGGTGGTCGGACTTCATTCATAACCAGGGCACAATTACTCTTCTCAGTAAATACTCCTGAACTCCTTAAAAACTAAAACAAGGAGCACTTTAAGAATGGACATTGAAATCTGGCCATTCAAATACATGGGTTTGTTACTTCTTCCTTCTTAAAACTTATGAAAATATCTGTAAAGAAAAAATGTTTAAGTATACACTTGTAAAGACAAAGAAAACGTGGGTGAAGTCAAGAAAAGATGACAGATTTCAACTTCTTTTGAGGTGAAAAATGAACAGAAGAGTGGCAAATAACTCAGAGTAAAATAAGTAAAAACCCTAGTGCCCACAGAACTTCAGGAAGATTCTAAAGTAGGAAGAACTAAATATAAAGAAAAGAGTATGAGGGGGGCTAAAAGTTGGAGGCTTCTTTGAAAGTCTGCATTGAGGTAGCTGCCAAGTCTCCTCCCACTCTGTGCCGCAAGGTCACTATACCTTCCCCAACCAGCAGAAACGGGAAGATGACCCAAAGGAGATGAACTGGATCCCAGAGTCAAGGATCCAGACATAATGGAGGGTAGAGATGAGGTGCCAGAATGAAGAGAGGTACTGAAGGGAAGTCAAAGGTCTGAACAGTGTGACGCACACGCACACACACACGCACACGCACACACACACGCACACGCACACGCACACGCACACGTCTTCTTCCCTGCTCCCAGAACACCGATAGCAGTCAGGTTTATCACTCTAAAACAAGAGACTGGAGTTATTTTCTGCAGAATCTGAATACCTGAACAGCTTCAGAGAAAAGACCTTCAGATAACTAAGCAATTACCAATTTTTTTTAAATTAATTTACCACATTTTCACCCTATTGAAATTAACTATTTGACAAGCCCACCCACAGATAACATAGCTTCCAATCACCTGTTTTGAATGCTCACTTTGGAAGGAATGGACAGGAAAGGATTACCACAGAGTTAAGGAAAGCCTCATATGTGAAAGGAAGAGATTAACACTAGCAAATGTCTGGAAGGCAGGAGGAACTCAGATTCAATAGGCATGGAATCCAGCAGAGGATCCAGGGAAAGAGAACAGGACAATCGCTGTGCAACAGGCCTAGCAGCCAATCAGGCCAAATTAGGAAACGTGCATGTTAAAAAAACTCAAGACAGATGTCTTTAAAAAAAAAAAACTGGGCCCGGCCAGTGTGGCTCAGCGGTTGAGCATTGACCCATGCACCAACAGGTCACCAGTTCAATTCCTGGTCAGGGCACATGCCCAGGTTGTGGGCCTGATCCCCATTGGAGGGCATGCAGGAGGTGGCCAGTTGATGTTTTCTCCCATCAATGTTTCTATCTCTCTCCCTCTCCCTTCCTTTCTCTCTAAAATCAATAACAAAAAAAAATTTTCTTTAATGGGTCTGATGCTAATAAATCAAAAAGGAAAGTATGAGCTTATTCCTTGATTTAGCCCTTAACAAAGTTACATATTTAAAATAATGTAAACTATGGCTCTTTAATTTAACGAAAACTGCTATATATTGGTTGTATCAAAGATGAGGGAAGGAAGGAAAAGTGAAATTCTCATTTACCCTAAGAGAAAGAGGGTACATAATGTCTATATTCAATATTTTTTTTTTTATCCTCACCCGAGGACATTTCTGCATTTTTTGTTCAGACAGAACTTGAGGGAGAGAGAGGAAGAGAGAGAGAGAGAAACATCAATGTGAAGGGACACATCGAGTGGTTTGCCAACCAGGGCCGGGGACAAACTGCAACCGAGGTACATGCCCTTAGCGGGAACCAAACCCGGGTCTCTCTGTAGCGCAGGCCGACGCTCTGACCGCTGAGCCAAACCGGCCAGGGCTAAATTCAATATTTTAAGAAATATCAGCAGGGGCACATTATTTAGAAAAATGAAGTTAATTACCAGAAAGAAAAACACCTAAAGATTTGAACATACTTGCTTCTGTGGAGTTGAATGAGGATGGAGAGGGAGATGTGGAGAGTCGAGGAAGGGCTTATCTTTCCTTAGTAGCCTTAAAGAACAATTTGACTTTATATGTGTGATGATTAAAATACTATTTAACTTCTTAATAGACTACATGGAGGGACCTGGAAAGTATCATCCTAAGTGAAACAAGCCAAACAGAGAAAGGCAAATTTCATATGATCTCACTGATTTCTGGAATATAATGAACATAACAGTTTGAGGACAATCCCCTAAGGAGTGGGGAGGTGAGAGAGGAATGAACAACAGAATTTATATGCATGTATGCATGAACAGTGGACATGGACAACAATTGGGGGAAGGGGCAGGGAGGGAAGGGGGAGGGGGGAATCAGTGGGGGAAAAAAGGAGAATCATTTGTAACAGAAATTAATCAATAAAAAATAAATAAATAAATAAATAAATAAATAAATAAATAAATAAAAGAAATGGGAGTAGGCCAGGAGGAGCAAGTGGAAAAAAATGAACAGTAATGAACTATTCACAGATGTCGTAATAATATATTTAAGAAATTCTAGAAGGAGCCTGGAGAATAAAATTCTACCAGACTAAAAGTTTGTGAAGAAAATTTAGGGTGACTTTATCTTTCTAGTAAAAGTATAAGCTTTTGTTTAAAATTACACTTTATCCTTCCACTAAAACCACAGAAACTTATTAAAAAGTACGCTACTCATGCCAATTTACTACTGGATAGAAGTAAACATTAAGTTCTTTTTTATTTTAATTATTAAATAATAAACTTCATTTTAAAATATGGCTTCTTACAACAAATTCCTGTATTATTCTTCTAGATATACCTCTTACTTGGTGTAGGAGACGGAGATAACATGGAGGGTGGAGAGAACATCCTTGTATGAAATTCTCTGGACACTCCTTCCTTCTTATAATAAATCCTCTGAAAGAATCGAAAAATTCACACGAAACTAGAATTATTTACCTTGATTCAGGTCTAAGGACTGACTCCAGTTGCCAGTCTCATGGGAGATAGAGCAGGACACTACAGATACATTGCTGTCTGCCCAGTGGCATGTACTCTGGACAGTCACTGTGCCGTTGTCCCAGGAGTTGTGCTCAGGGACACAGTCTCCCTCTGGGGTCCAGGAGATCCGGGCAGCTGGCCTCCCTGCAATTGCTTTACACACCGCAGTCCTAGTATTATTTTCAAACAGGGTCATCTCAGGGACCACTGCAGAGATGTAGAGGAAATGCTTTAGTCATACACATTAGACATGGAGTTTAAAGAGACGTTCCTGTTAGTCTCAAACTGATTATCTGAAAACCACACTGTATAATGGTCCTTACCTAACACTTGGAGGTGATATCCATAATGGAAATTGCCATCAGGTGTTACCACTTGACACTCATAATACCCATCATGAGTGATGACCACCGGATCAATCTGAAGGACAGAATTCTGGTCAGGTCTGTAGGGCCAGGTCATTCTCTCATCAGTACAGTTTGTTTTTGTGGTCATGTGTGTAGCTCTCTTGTGGGCTCTGATGCAGTGAGGCTTGTTTCTGAGGATTATTTTCCATAATGTTACAATCACATCTGTCAACGGGACAGTAGGGCAATATAACACAGCCTTTGTATCCACCAATACAAGTTGGGATGAATTACCTAGACACACACACAAAGAATAATAAATGAAAAGCTTGATAAAAACTTCATGTGTTACATTTTCCACAACATATTACATAAAGTTGTACTAGAACATTACTTACGTAGTCCAAAAATATTAGACATATTAAAAAATTAAACATTCACAAAATATATATAACATATTAAGTATAACCCAAAGATTAATTCATTTTCTCCTACATTATATGTTATTAGGTAAACAATATTACTACATGTATGAGAAAGTTTTTAAGTATTTTGAAATCAATTCAGGAATTCCAATATATACGAAAAAAGAAAACACAATTTTCCTCTAAAAGAAAAGACAATGAATCTCTTTGTTAGAGACTATATTTATTTTATGACACATGCTCCTCTGGGTAGGAAATGGAATAATTATGGATGTGGCTGTGTCCTTCTAAGTTTTGATGAGAGAGAATGAACCAGTAATAGCAAAGTTAAACACTTATCGCTAAGGCTGGCACTTCAGACAAAAATAAATAAGGAAAGTAAATGGTATTAAAAGTAACTAAGATAGCATTCAGGTTTAGCAAACTAGAAATTTTTTCAGTTTTTTAAAATTTATTTGGAAAATCAGAAAGTCAGCGAAATCAACAGGTCCTTCCTTAATTCTGATTCAGTTATACTCACTCCCAAAGAGTTCAACTGTAAACTTTTCTAACAGACTTTGTTGCCATATAATTACTCTAATTATAAGGATTAAATATAGAAGTTGACTCCCTTTATCCACCGTTTAAAGTAAAAATTAAGCCCTGCAACCTATATATATTTTCCAACATGGAAGCTCACATTTTTTCCCCATAAATTGATATAATGTGACTGTGACTGGTAGGGGTTTGCTGAGAGGTGACTAGAAGTACCTGTTACAACTCACCTGTAACAGAGTGTCGGTAATTTTATCACTTTAACATGAGGTGTGGCAGGATAAAATATTTGTGTAAATGAAGCTTGTGCTAAATTCTGCATTTGATAGTTTTCTCCTCTGCTGGTGTCACCTGCCTCTTCTGTGATTTACTCAAGCCTTTGAATTGCACAGCCAAATAAAGATCACTTAACTAGGTGGAGGAAGAGGGGGGATTTTAAAGCAGATCTGAGAGGCAGTTAAATACGTCCCAAATCTGGTTATCTGAAACACCATAATGTACAATGTTCCTTACCTACCACAGGGATGTGATAGTCATGATGGAAATTCCCATCAGGAGGTACCACTTGACACCTGTAATACCCATCATGAGTGATGACCACTGCATCAATCTGAAGGGCAGGTCTGTGGGGCCATGCTCTTTCCACCACTCCAGGTGGCATCTCTTAGAGGGAAACTCCAGCTTGACAAAGGGTAAGAGGCAAGCAGGAACATGGCTTTGGTAACAACTAGAGTTAGATGTGGGTGAGCATACATGTGCACAAGGGAAAGATGCTGACGATAAACCCAGAAAGAAAAGGGACTGATGAGCAGGCAAGTTGTGAAGGCTCTCTCATGTTCTCAGAAGTTTGAACCTTAGCTTATAAAAAATATAAGGCTTAGTGTTTTAGCCTAATGTTTATCCTCAAGAGCTGACTCTATTTTTTTTTAAAGAAAGTACTAGGTAATCATATAAACATATGCATTTTAACAGGGCCTGGTATCCAGTGTAGTAAGTCCAATGGTGAGGAACCTAAGCACAGTGGATATTCTATATTATTTCATTTCTTCCACTGTATAACTTTCAGACCAACACCCTTCTCCTTCATAATGGTAGTTCTTGTGGAATTGATTATTTCACCCATTCTTAAAGTGCATTTTTCCTTTTTAATGCCTGTAGTGATCACTTACAATGACCAGTCACTCCCCCACACTCAGTGGATTTGGCACCTTTCTAACACTACTATTCCCCCTCCACTACTGTGATCGGCCAGGGTGACATCACTTCCTACCTCACTGAAGAGATAGAGGGTCGATTCGCATATTTATTCCAGAACCAGCAGTCATATCCCATCTTTGCTGAATCCTTTGTCTACAAATATCTCCCAGTCTCATCCAGCCCTATACACACAGACAAAATCCAGTTGGTTTTTGAGCATTTTCTTTCTTTTCTCCCTACCATCCCCTAGTTTAATTCCCCACCACCATACACCTAGACACCACACACCTAGATGCTTCAAAAGCCTCCTAGCCTCTGTCTCTGTCTCAAAACTCTCCTGTCTTCCATTCATACCTTACACTGCAACCAGGCACATCCTTCTATAACACAGATATGATTTACTCAACTCTAAGACCCTTCGGAGATCTCTCACAGCCTAAAGAAAACATTTAAATGCCTGTGTGTTGGCTTTGAAAGCCCACTTTTAAAATGGATTCACCTTTCCAGTCCAGTCACTCCCTACATGGCTCCCACACTTCAGGAATAAAACACCAAGCACACCTGCATTTCTATATTTTTCCTCACATTGTTCCCATGACCTGGTAGGCCCTACACAATGTCCTTTGTCTATTATAAGACTCCTTTTTCTTTAAGACCCTGGACACGTGATGCCTCTCCTCTCTGAGCCTTGGTGCTAACAGCTCCCTCCTCTAGATTCCTGGTGCACTTGATGTGACAGCTGTGCTCACATCTGTGTGCCCCACACAACTGAGCTCCCTGAGGGCTCTGCCATTGTCTTGTTCATCTTGCTCGTCTTTATGTTCCCTGTAAAGCCTAGCACAGTGCCTGTAGAGAAAGCTCCTAGCTTTCTCATGGAATTCACCTGCTTTGGGAAAGGAGGAGCAGGGTCATTCGGGGACCCTCACAGCACAGCACTCAGATCACCATATTCTTCAGCTGGGCACAAGGCTGACCCTCAGGCCAGACCAACAACTATGTTTCTAAGGAAGTTTGATACTCCATTTCTTCAGTACTGGCCTCTAGGGGAGGGGAAATATATTACCTTCTGTAAGAGGTTTTGAAGAGTTCTCCTCTTTGTCCATCTGTAAACCTAGAAAAATATTCAGAGAAAAGTAAATGAAATTAATTTTAGGTACTTAAAAGAAGGAAGCCACCATTTCTCCACAAAAACTTATGTACAACATGATAGAAAATCAGTTAACTATAACTAACTTACATTAAAATCCTTGCAAAACAGCCCTGGCTAGGTGGCTCAGTTGGTTGCAGCGTTGTTCCGTACACCAAAAAGTTGCAGGTTCTATTCCCAGTCAGAACACATATCTCGGTTGCGGGTTACGATTATGTACAGGAGGCAACCAGTTGATGTTTCTCTCTCACATTGATGTTTCTCTCTTTCTCTTCCTCTCTCTCTAAAATCAATGGGAACATATCCTCACGTAAGGATTATAAAAATAAATAAGTTTTTTTAAATCCTTGAAAAACAAATGATTTATTGCATCAAGTGGAAAATATGTTAACATTTGAAAATTACATTCATAAGCTATTAATCAATGATTTCCCATTTATGAGACACCTTGTTTTGTACTTGACTACTATTTTGTATGAGGTAACCCTGCCTCCACCCCTTCCCGAGCCACAGTGGATTGGCCCATCATGGGCACCTTCCGTGAGCTGGGCTGATTATAATCCTTTCTCCAGATGCCATCCCTGATTAAAGTTGTTTGGATCAGTGGTGGACACCTACCCAGCTGGACAAATCAGGTACTTTCTTGAGAATTTTGGTACCAGAACTGAGAATAGTTCATTCTTCTTCTTTCCCCACTTCCTGTGATGATTAATTTTATGTCAACTTGGCTAGGCAACAATTCCCAGCTATTGAGTCCAACATTATTCTACACTTTTCAGTGAAGACATTTTTTTTAGATGAGAATAACATTTAAATCAGTAGAGCAAATTAGTCTCCATAATGCAGGTGGGCCTCATCCAATCAGTTGGAGGCCTTAATTTTAAAAAAAAGACTGACCTCCTGGGAAAGGGACTTCTGTCAGCAGACTGCCCTCAGACTTGAAGTGCAACACTTTGCTGGGTCTCTAGGCTGCTGGCCCACTCTACAGATTTTGGACTTGCCAAGCTTCTATAATCACATGAGCCAATTCCTTAAAACAAATCTCTCTCTCTCTCTCTCTCTCTCTCTCTCTCTCTCTCTCACTCACACACACACACACACACACAATCCTGTTGTTCTGTTTCTCTGAGAAATCCTAACTAATACATCTACCTGGGGAAGCTGGAAGCAGGTGCAGTGTGGACTGGAGGTGGTGGTGAGAGAGCGGTGATTATATTCATCTGGCTCAGATTGCTAATCCCACAGTTCCTGGGACAACCAAGCATTCCTTCCTTTGATTTTTATAGAGTTTCTGAAAATCAAAGTAGTCCTAATCTACTTCAAGTTTGAATTCTGCAAAACTTCTGTTCTGTTGTATTGTTTTTTTAAAATGACAATGATTTAAAAGATATTTCTTACAATTTAAGGGCCTAAAAATGTTCTTCCTCTGGGTTTAACCATTCAATAAGCATTTATCAGTCCTCTGCTTATAAAAATATACTCTTGCTCCCCATTAGAGTTCTGTACCCAGTTCTACCACATTTAAAAATAAACAAATAAATTGTAAAGGTCTTAGAAATGAACAGCAATGTGCCCTGCTCCATTCCCAGCTAAGGTAGCTGTCTGGTGACCAGGAAATGGCAACCACGAGAGGCAAAGATTACTTTAGTAGGTGAGGGTTTTCTCTTGTGATGTTTTGGCCTCTAAAGCCCTGAAACCTCCTCTCTGTTTTAAAGATATAGGCTTTTGTCAATGAAAAGTTAAAAAACTCAGCCTTGATTGACATCTTTAAAGGAATATTGAAAAGCTTTTCTTCTATCTCTTGGATTTTACTTCATATGCCCCATAGAAATTGTTACTTTAGTAACAGAGCAAATTTTCCTACTCTAAACTGTTAACTTGTTGGCACTTCAACGGATTCTCATTTTAGCAAATTTGTCTGGGGATATTGGCAATTTGGCCACATTATGCTCTTAGCAGATATAATGAAATAAGTGTCTAGAAACTAATGGGATTCTGTTAGAAGAGCCTGGTCTTGCATTAAGTGGTGCCTTCCTAACTGACTTGAATGAAGTCTTCAATGATCGCCAGTGGGCTGAAATGTGGAAGAGACCTACTTAGTAAAGGTTTCTAGTGAATGGAGACCCATGAAGAAATCCACCTTGCAAACTAGATACCAAATATTCCTATAGCCAATCAAAATCCACCTCCTTCCAAAGAATACCCTAAGAAAGAAAATCAATAAATTATCCTTGCAACTTCTCATACCAGAGATAAAACTCACAAGTTGAAATGTACTCTTGAGTATGCAAAAATTATTGTTTTCAGAAGAGAAAAAAAAAATCATGCTTATTTTCACAAATATTCCTCTGATTATTTTTATAATATTGGATATGCTTTTGAAACTTCATTAATTGTTAATATGTGAGTCGTTCAATTTTATTGTCTTGATTGGCAGCTACTTGCTATAGAATGCAAATTTCTTTTTTTTTTTTTTTCCATTTTTTGTTCAGATAGAGTGGGAGGGAGAGAGAGGAAGAGAGAGAGAGAAACATCAACGTGAAAGGGACACATCAAGTGGCTGCCACCCGCATGACCAACCAGGGCCGGGGACAAACTGCAACCGAGTTATGCGCCCTTAGTGGGAACCGAACCCAGGTCTCTCTGGACCGCAGGTCGACGCTCTAACCGCTGAGCCAAACCGGCCAGGGCTAGAATGCAAATTTCATATCAAGTATCATGACTTCACTGAAAATAGAAAGCGTCCTTCTTGCTGTCTTGTTTAAATCTTTGTATACAGTATCAAAGTAGTACAATAGACATTTAAAGTTTCTGATCAATGCTCCTGTGTTCTTTCTTTAATTTCTTCCTATGAAACCAAATTTTCTTTTAAATTTAGAAAGATTATAGTTTTACATTATTGAAATCAGAAGTCTAATTGAGCTTTTTCACAGTGTACATAAATATAGACTGAAACAAATGTGAATTGTGTTTTCTAAAACATATTTATAGTATAAAAGTAACTTAATTACTCCTTATATTCATTTTCTTAGGCTGCCTTAATATATATAACCACAAACTTGATCATCCGAAACTACAGAAATTTATTCTCTCATATTTCTGCAAGCCAGAAGTCTGATATCAAGAAATTCTTCCTTGCTTCTTTCAGTTTTTGGTCACTGCGAAAAAACCTTGGTGTTCCTTGGCTTATGGATGTGTTATTTCAATTTCTACTTCCATCATCCCTGTGTTTTCTCTTCTAAGGACACTGGCCATTGGCCTTAGGGCCTACTCTGATTCAGAATGATCACATCTCAGGAGCCTTACTTAATTACTTCTACAAAGATTACTTTTCCAAATACAGTGACATTCACAGGTTCCCAGTGGACATATCTTTTGGGAGCCACCATCCGACCCTTATGCATTATACCCATCCCTGAGATTTATAGTTCATGTAGTTATTTTACTTATTTTATTCTGTAGTTGACTGTAAATTTAGTTTATTCCATAATTTTTCTAGATAGTGAATAATTAAATATAATTTAAAAGGATATTTATTGAGTTCAAGATTGAATTCTGAAGTCAATGGAATTATTTTTCCATGAAATGCTTAATGTAACACATTACAAAAATAACATTTTAAAATACAAGAAAAAAGTTTACTATATTGGCAAATAGAAGTTTGAGAGACCACTGGTCTGGTAGGTGGGGTACAGAAAATAAATGACTAACATCTACTAAGACTTTTTTTAAAGTTTTTTTAGAGTAACAACTCATGGGTTTAAAAAAAATTTTTTTTAATATGTTTTTACTGATTTGTTAGAAAGAGAGGAGCCCTGGCCGGTTTGGCTCAGCCGTTAGAGCGTCGGCCTGCGGTCCGGGGAGACCCGGGTTCGGTTCCCGATAAGGGCACGTACTTCGGTTGCAGTTTGTCCCCGGCCCTGGTTGGTCGTGCGGGTGGCAGCCACTCGATGTGTCCCTTCACGTCGATGTTTCTCTCTCTCTCTCCCTTCCTCTCTCTCCCTCCCACTCTATCTGTACAAAAAATGGAAAAATATCCTCGGGTGAGGATAAAAAAAGAAAAAAAGAAAGAAAGGAAGGGAGAGATTGAGGTAGAAACATTGATGTGAGAGAGAAACATCCATCATCGGCCTCTGGCACACCCCCCACTGGGGATCTAGCCTGCAATCCCGGCATGTGCCCTGACCGGGAATTGAACTGGGACCTCTAAGTCCATGGGACAATGCTCAGTCCACTGAGCCACACTGACCAGGTATAACTCATGTTTTAAAAATTGAATGAAAAAATATTTTTAAATTGTTTTGTTTGGTGATCATATTTTGAAATAGTACTAAATAAGCACAGAATTAATTTCAGAATGAAAAATTTACCTGCAATCTTAAACATAAGCAATATTTTTTTTAATCCTTACCTGGAGATATGTTTTTTATTGACTTTTTAGAGAGAGGAAGGGAGAGAAAAGAGAGAAAGAAACATCGATGTCAGAGACAAACCCCAACCAGGGATTGAACCGGCAAACTAGGAATGTGCCCTGCACAGAACCAAACCCAGAACCTTTTGGTGTACCAGACAACATTCCAACCAACTGAGCCACCAGGCCAGGGCACACAGTATTTTATAGACAATACAGTCTATAAATGCATATACAATTATTCAAAATCCTAAAATATAAAAACATACAAGCATCAAGCACTCTCCTATTAGAATTATCATTGAAAAATGAGCATTACCCAAACTGTTCTTGTCCTTGTCCATTTGCTGTGTTGAGTTGCTTGATGTGACAAGACCTTCCACTCCTGTACTTACACACTCTGAAATGGGGTGAAGAGAGAAATATATATTAGCATTTCTGACTCCTAGTTAAAACCACATATTTTGTCACATTCTTGAAGCCATCTTTGAATTTCAGTTGCCAATGAAAACACAAATTATGACAGTCAAACAAAAGTCTCAGGAAAAATATGTGCCCCAATATGAACTTTTGACCTGATCTTCCTGCCTGTTTGTTATACTCCTACTTTAGGCCCAGAATGCCTTTCACTACCTTTTGCCTTGACATTCAAATCAAAGTATTTCTTCTCCTAGGCGTATATGTATTTAATCTATCTCTGTAGAAGAAAGGATTTTACTATCTGTTACAAACTCTTTTTTTAAAATATGTTTTTATTGATTTTTTTTTTTTTAGAGAAAGGAAGGGAGAGATAGAAACATCGGTGTGAGAAAGAAACATGCCCCCCACTGGGGATCGAGCCCACAACCTGGGTACATGCCCTGACTGGAAATTGAACTGGGACCTCTCGGTCCATGGGATGATGCTCTATCCCCTGAGCCACACCGGTCCGACTGTTATAGACTCTTCAAGAACCAGTGACTAGGCAGTGCTATGCTGACTAGATGCTGGTATAGAACAAAAGGATTTTCCTCAACATTGTTAAAAATCACATTATGTGAACAACTATTAACTTCAAATTTCATAAGGCAGACTCTAATTGGGAATTGCTATAAACATATTTTGAGCCACAACTACTGGCAAAATACTTGCTAGGCATAGAAACGCCATAATAAACAATACCTCTTCTCTCCAAGAGCTTAAGGTCCAGATGAGGAAGTGGCTATGTAAAACATTATAACATAAAGTTTTCAGTGCAATGATAGAAGTATGCATAGTGTCCAGAAGTTAAAAAGAAGAGACGTTTCATCTAAGAAAGCAGGGGTAAGAGATTAGGGAAGACCCCCTACAACAGATATTTGAACTATATCTTAGTAGGTGAGAAGTTTTCCAGGAAGATGGAAGGAGAAAGAAAATTGCACACAGAAAGTACAGCATTTAGAGGAAGGCATAGAGTCACATGGGATTTTCAAAGAACTACAAATAGTTCTGTATTGTAATAAAGTAAGAGAAATTAATAGTGTCATTAGAGTGGAGGCTGGATATCAGCGCCTCTAACTGTGGAAGGCACAAAACTCCCAGGAAGTGTTCACAATGATGCGATACACTTCTGGGGCATCTAGTGTGACCAGCCAAGAGAAACATTCTAGGGTAAAATTTAATGCACAGCGTTTTTATGAAGAAGTTTTTAATATAGTGCCCCCTCTTGGCTGTCCTTTTCTTTAACAACACATTCTCTTAAAACAGTAATTTTGAGCACTTACACTAGGTTCAGATTTTTGGTAATTTGTATATGTTTTTTATTTCACTCTCTCCATCCTGACAGGTATCATTAGCTTCACTTTACAAATAAAAAAAATGTAGACTCATAGAGATGAAACAGTTTGGCCACAGCCACCCAGCTTGTAAGCTGCTCCAGTTGCCCAATTATTCTTATGCAAGATCTTACTGCAGTGAGTACAAACCAAGGTTTGGATCTTAAGAAATACACTATTAATTTAACAGAAATTGAAAGAGTTGGTGAACATGCATCCGCACATAAACACAAACAAAATACAAACCCAAAACCCTTAACACTGAAAAAAAAACTTTCCCATCTAAGTCAAAATCAACATCAGAAGTAGGAATGTTTTGTGATTTTACTACAAATGAAACCTCTTACTCACTTTGGGCACCAGAAGTTTCCTTTCCCAAATCATCACTGTCATATGCCTGAGCAAGCATAGAGCACCCACGCAATAGACATTGTCTAGGCATGACTGTGCAAACCATACTCCCAAGGCCTCTTCCAGTAAGGGGGAAAAAGGCTCTCAGAACAACACATGCTTTTCTTGTGATGTTAAACAGTTCTTAGCTATTGTAATATCCTGTGCTCTGCTGTGCTCTACTGACTCAAAAAGTTAGAGATAGGCAGTTCTGAAATTTCACCATTCCCAGTAACAACCCTGATTCAGTAATTGTTTTGAACTGAAATAGAGCCTAGATTATGCCATACCTTAAGTGCTAGTTTATTTGCTTAGATTTATTTATTATGTCTAATGCATAGAGATGGAAAACAAAAGAGTTAAAGATTTCCTGCCCTTTCATTCATGTTTTGGGGGAGAGACAAACAAAGGAGAAAAGAGTCTGATAAATGAATTCCAAGCTAAAAGAATCCTTAAATTGGGGCAAAACTGCAGCATAAAATAGTTGGCTATGCTCTAATAAGGTGACCACATAGCTGTTAAAGAGAATAATATGGAATAGTTTTATTTTTACATTTCTTTTTCTATTTCTCTCCAGGACTTGAGGCTTCTATGCCAGTACTGAACTAATTAGAAGTCATTCTTATTGCTTATTATGGCCTTCATGTCTTTATTTGTCATCTATATTTTATTTAACATTTAATGAACTTATTACTTTTAAAAATGACACAGAATACATTGAAATCCATTTCAATACATTGAAATCTGTGGAAATACCTTGATATTTTACGTAAGGAATAACAAACAATAGAATCATTTCATTCTTAATTTGGTATTTCAAGCTTTCAAACTTCAAAACTGTTATAACAAAAAATACAGAGCCAGACCATTATGAATTAAGCAATGGCTAGAAAATACAAGGGATATGAGTTTTACTTCTTGCTTTACTTCTTCTTTCCTGAATCATTTTAGATAATCAAATGAATTTATACATTCTAGTTCTGCCCTTTACAAAACACAGATGACCATTCTCACTTAACAATTAAGGAATAACTAGTGAGTTTTTTAAAACATTACAAACAGCTTTTAAACTCTAAAAATGAAGCAGTACATCTCTGCTAAAGATTCAAGGTTTTATTTTAAATGAATGCAACTTTGGGGCTAAGAGCTTAATCACACCAAGACCCGGAAATTCAATTACATTACAACCTTTATTTAGCTACACTGAGCACATGACTTTCTCTAATCACCAGTGTGGTAAAAGTCAATACAGTGCAGAAAACTTTACTGTAAATTTCTGGCTCCAGAAAGCTTAAAATATCAACCTTAGCATTTTAGCTAGTGAATGTTTGCACTGCATTTTTTTTTTACAATAAATTTTTTTACAATTTTTTTTTTATATATTGTTGATGTAGAGGAAACAGTAAAGTATTATTTCCTGAAAGTTTTCAGAGTTATGAATAGATTCAAGCAAGACATTGTGGAAAGAAGTTGTCTCCTTTTTCGGAGGTCCTGAAAATAAGATGAATTGTAATCTAGATAGGCTAATTCTATTTCTGCCTCTAATGCAGTGGTTTTCACATAGTGATCTGGGAACTAGTGGAAATCTATGATAGCCAGAATATCCACGAACTTTGTAACTTTTGGGGAAGGGAGCCTAATCTGTTATTTTATTTCTGTTATGCAAATATAAAGTAGTATCACCCTATAGAAATAACTGAATGCATCACCAATTTTCCCCAAATTCGGTTATTTTCTAACAGGAATTTTGCAAACGGGACTTCCATTTGGAATAAGAGGCACAGGTGATCTTTTCTCTTACTAAAGCTACCAGAAGACTAATGCATTAATGATCCATATTGAAAGTAAAGGAAATGTTTTCTTTTCTGCTTCTAAGATGATCAATTACTCACTATTAGTTTTCATTCTTAGGGCACTTGAGTGAAGATCTATCACATATATTAGAGCATTTTAAATCATGTTTGTTATTTCTGAGCCAGAATTTCCCAGCAAAAAAACTATTTTGCAAACATCTGAAATACTAGGATAAAAATTATGTAGATTAATGAACTACAACCATAACTTAAACATGGATAAGTCTCAAACATAATACTGAGTAAATAAAGTTATAAAGTAATATACACAATATGATTTCATTTATAAACAATACCAAAAAAGTCAAAACAAATTTTATTGTTAGGGACTGCATACATACATGGTAAATCATAAAGAAAAATGGGGAATGATTATCCCCCAGAGAGAATGATGGTCCCAAAAGATAATAGCTACCATTAGAGCAAAGGTTGAGGGTATAATTGGGGGAGAAATGGTAATAGTTTATTTTTTAACTTACATAAATATTCACTGTATAATTATTCTTTGAAATATATGATTATCATACATCCTGCAGTGTATATTATTTATGTTAATATAAAAAGTTAAAATAATAAGTACAAAGAAACACAATTAACACTTACTTTTTAAGCATAACAGTGTCAAAAACTAATCCTGGTATCACGGCATAGATTTCATATTCTTACACTTTAATTTATAAAAATAATTTACATTTTGAAAAACATTAATTTAGTAGCAGACAACACCTAATTAGGTGTTCAGTAAACAAAATATTGGTTAGAAACCCAAAGTTTCAGCAGAGACAAAAATAGAAAAAAGCACCAAAATTTTTAGAGTAAGAAAATTGACATTTTGGCTCTTCCATTTATTACCTCTGTAATCTTGCATAGATTACTTTCTGAACCCTGACTGCTTCATCTACACATATATGCGTTCAGTATTTTATGAAAGTGATCATTCAAATTTATAAGCAGCAGGAAGGATGATTATTTATATGCTTGATAGGTGGTATTGGAAGATCTAGCTAGCCATCTGGAAAAAAAAATTTAAAACAGATTCCTGTCTCACTTCTTACATAAAAATAAAATAATGAATCAAAGGTTTAAGTATAAATAAGTAAATAAGTACTGGAAAAAATATAGGTAATTATTTTTTAACACTAGATAAGGTGATAACGTTCTGGTTTGGCACTCAGAGGTTTCTTGGGACACAGAACATTCAGTGTTCTGGAAACCAGAAAGGCCCCAGGAAAATGGGGACAGATGTCATCTGAAGTGAAGAAACCTTTGTAACCCTGATACAAAACAGAAAAACTGCAAAGACAAATATGGAGAAATCTGTACAAAGAATTACAAAATTTCCTCCAAAAAACATATAAATATAC